GCATATAGTATCGGACGCTGTCAGGGATTTCCTCCTTAACGTGGCTGATCATAATGAGAGCTTGTTCGTCGGATAGGCCGCGGTGCCGTATTTCACTAGCCTTGGCGCTGGAGCCCTTGAGCCACGTAGCCTCTGTGCTTGTTGTACGCCTCGTGATGGAGGTTTTGAGATTGCCGCGCATCTCACCGGCCTCGAGAAAGTGGATGCACTTGTCTCTGAGGGACGCAGACATGTTGGAGAAAGGCTCGTCAAGGATGATTATATCTGGCTTGTGGATCAATGCACGAATGAAGAGCACGAGGCGTTGCTGGGCAGTGCTAAGTTCTCCGAACCGTACAGAGTCGGCATACTCGACGTCGTAGTCTGTCGGCACGAAATCGCGATTCTTGGTAGTTTTGAGTTGTCCAATATTGGGAAATAAGTCCATAGCGCGGTAATTCACACCAGGTGGTTTCTGTTGAGTTGTGACGGCTGCGTCTGGGTCTAATTCGGCTTTGAAGAACCTCAACGCCGCACTTACGTCCAAGTCTCGTTCGTGATCCAAAGTCGGCTTGGCAAGGAATGTTTCAGCAAAAGCAGACTCGATGGCCTGGCGAATGCTAAGTTGACGGGGAAAGAAAGCGTGAATTTCGGGGGACGAGTGACCAAGGCGGGATTGAAGTTCAAAGATTGAAATGCCCGGCTTGCCCGCCTCGGGCAAACGCGAGCGCCCAAAGACCTTGATCGGCAAAGCGTAGGTTTGTGGATGGTCCGATGTAATCAAGGACAGTAATGTGGTTTTCCCAGAACCATTGGCCCCAAGTACCACCCAACGCTGGCCGCGACGAACGGTCCAATGCAGTCCCTCCTTTTTCTGATCGCCGACCCTTTGCTTCCAGCCTCCGAGAACGACGTTGTCGCCGTATTGCACGCGGACACCTTCCATCTCGATCAGCGGCTCTCCCCCATGATTTGTCACTGCGTTACTCTGATTCGAACTAGTTTCGACAAGATTGAGATCCCAGAGAAGTTGTCGATGCAGAGAGCCCGACTCCATATCCTTTTGAGCTTCCTGCAGTATCTTCTGTTCCTCCTCACTGAGAGTTGGAGTTCTGCCCTTCTTTGTAAGATGCTTCCAGACGCGCATGACTCTGTCCGCTTCCGACCTTGTGCCCTGGAACAGGATCTGGTTGGAGTTTCCGAGAAGAAGAATGTGGGTGATCCAATCCGGAAGATTGTCCTGCGGCCGCAAGGCGAGGATCAATCTTGGTGAAGCCTTCACTGCTAGGCGTTCAAGAAGACCGGAAATACTCCGAACTGTAGCTGGATCGAGGCCCACTAAGAGGATGTCAACCCCTTTCTCATAAGTTCACTTGTTATGCAGAGCGACTTACTGAAAGGTTCATCAAGCAGTAATAGTTCTGGCTCACTGAGAAGGGCCTTGGCGATCCGCGCACGCCTTGTTTGGCCATTGCTCAGATTGGCAACGGGCATGTCGAGCAGCTCCCCTAAGCGCAAGTCGGTGATAATCTGCGCCAACAATTCCTCATTTCGGACCGTTCCATTCTCTTCTCCCTCTAAGGGATTCAGAGAGGTTTGGCCCCGAAGATACTGGCGGACAGTCCAGTCGGTTTCTTCCCGAAGACTCTCATACCGAGCGCTCAGGTACGCGCCCCGAGTGCCACCAATTGCCTCTGAACCCTCCCCACTGAATCCAATGTATTGAATCACATTGCCCACAAACCGTAACCGAGCATCTTTGGCCGCGATCTCGTCCGTGAGAAGGAAAGGATAACTGCGAGCGGTGGGCGGAAGGCAGATGTACTGGCCGCGGAGGACATCAAGCAGCTGGGTCCTTCCCAACGAACCGATCACAGCCCATTGTTGTAGACTTTCCTTGCCCTCGCTGAGGGAAGGAGTTGGCTTCGAAGGTAGGACAAAATTTAAGTTTTGGAAGAGAGGGCGATTACGGCCTTTGGCCGCATCGTCGGGAGTAGGATAGTTTTCGTAGAAAGTTCCATCTTGGATGCGAATTAGCGGCGGTGCCAAGGAGGAGCCATGACGAGCAATGCGGATGAAACTCAATGGTCTGAAGTGACAGGAGGGCGATATTGATCGTCTGAACAGCATATTCTTGTATTTGTTGTCGCTCCCTCAAGGAGCCGTCAAATACGGCTTGAATGACGATTGACTGCTGATCTCCGTGGCTTGTGGTCGGCCTTAAGTCCGAGGCTGCAATCCCCGAGCCTTGCCACGTGATCATGCTCAGGTATGGAAGTACCAGAGGTGTTTGAAGTCAAATAGGAAGCAATGCAATCAACAAACAATCAAAAAAAGAATCATAGTGCATAGTTGAACGCGACTTGATAGCGTTCTGTCAAGGGAAGGTTGGACACCTACACCTTACGCATGCATCCGAGACAATCGCAGAATAGAACGACTTTCCTCGACTGCGACTAGTACTGAACGATTTCGATCTCCCAGATACCGAGACCTAAATGATAAAACCGGCAGGTACCACAAACTTTCTAGCTCAGTATTCCTTGTCAACATGCTTCAATGTACAATTCGCACTATTTGAAATGCCTTCATCCATTCTAGCTTCGTTCGGCCTACCCCATCACTCTGTCGCCGGATGATGGCCAAACTCCGATAAGCGCCGGCTAAGACCAACTCCCCTCACTTGATTGAACAGCTAATCGTATCGATATACGAAGGAGTGGATGATTAGGAAAGCGATCTTCGGAATTTCCGAATATCCTTCGTCGGATGATACTGCTTTAACGCTTTCTTTTGGTGAATCTCCTGAATCACGGCCTTTATCATAACCCCTCTACAAGAGACGTAGGATAAAGATGACTGTTGATCCCTCCACCACTAATGGCCGGTATGTCGAGTGAAGGTCCGCCCCTCAACTTGTTATAGATCACTATATTCGCCACTATTTCCATTGGCCGACTCTGACTTCTATTCATGCAGTTCACACTCACAAGAAGTCTCTCCATTAGATTCAATCCCCTCACTCCCTTTATTTCTCGAGGCACAGAAAGTCTCGCAGCACAATGCGGGGAAAGTTGCTGTAATAGATGCGGCCAAGGGGGAGCAATTCACCTACACGCAGCTTTTAGCGGATACGGCAGCGTTGAAAAAGATCATGCTCGAGGAATTGCAGCTAAAAGATCTTGAAGAAAGACGCATCGCCTTCCTGGTCCCAAATGGATACGACTATGTCGTTACCCAGTGGGCCATCTGGGCTGCTGGCGGCGTTTGTGTGCCCCTCTGTACGTCCTTGTAACCGGTGACCGTCGTAAGACTACTAATATCAATGCCATCAAAGGTACAACTCACCCGGTCAAGGAATTACTTTACACAATAGACGACTCGGACCCATCTTTGGTCATTCTGCACCCTGCATTCGACAAGTTCAATGAGCCGCTGCGTGAGTCAATAACCAATGATGTGCCATTTATCGCTCTCCAGCCTTCTCATGCGAAAAACGATCTCTCATCGAGTTCTCTGCCTACATTCAGCCCTGTCTCCTCCCTGGATCGAAGGGCGCTGATGATCTACACATCCGGTACGACATCGAAACCCAAAGGTTGCGTCACAACGCACAAGAACATCACCTTCCAAGCGAGATGCCTTGTCGAAGCGTGGAAGTACAGCCCGTCCGACCACCTCATCCATGTCCTACCGCTTCATCACGTCCATGGGATAATCAACGGTCTAACAGCTAGTTTCCTCAGCGGAGCTACGGTCGAGATGTACCCCAAATTCGACCCGCAAGTCATATGGAACCGGTGGCAGGATCAGGGCTCCTCTACAATGTTCATGGCAGTTCCGACGATATACTCTCGATTGATCGATTACTTCGAGGTCAACATTCGCGGCACAGACAAGGAAGCCGCTGCGCGAAGTGGCGCCAACGCCTTAAGGCTCGTCGTAAGCGGTTCCGCAGCTCTCCCCACCCCTATCAAAACCAAGTTCGCCGCAATCACAGGCCAGACCCTTCTGGAGCGATACGGCATGACCGAGATCGGCATGGCGCTCAGCTGCGCGCTGGACATCGACAAGCGGATAGACGGCAGCGTCGGCTGGCCTCTGCCTGGCGTACAGGTGCGGCTGGTCGACAAGGACACGGGCGCAATCATCAAGTCCGCGAACGAGGACGGCATGATTGAGATCAAAGGGGATAACGTCTTCCTCGAATACTGGCGACAGCCCGATGCGACAACCAGGGAGTTCACTGCAGACGGATGGTTCAAGACCGGGGACGTGGCACGGCGCGATGATACGGGCGCATACTTCATCCAAGGCCGGGCGTCGGTTGACCTGATCAAGTCCGGCGGCTACAAGATCTCGGCTTTAGAGGTGGAACGGAAGATGCTCGGCTTGGATGCAATTGAAGAAGTGGCTGTTGTGGGCCTGGCGGACGAGGAATGGGGCCAGCGAGTCGCTGCTGTTGTCAAGCAACGGTCTGGGGTGAGATAATTTGCCTGTCTCAACACGTCTCTCGCAAAGCATGAACTGACGAAACTGCAGACCGAGCCGCTGGAACTTCAGAGCCTTCGTGCGCAACTTAAGCAGGAGATGGCCCCTTACAAGATTCCGACAGTGCTGAAAATCGTGGACAGCATTGAGCGCAATGCGATGGGTAAGGTGAACAAGAAGATAATCGTACAGAAATACTGGCCTGATAAGGCCTGATCTGGAATCGTCATTGCGCTGCACCATGTAGTTAACGTAAGCGTCATGAGTCACAACCTTCTATATAGTTGTTCTGGGACAAAAGCCTCGAAATCTTCATAGTGTCTTTATGGGCTCTAAACAAGCTATACCCTGCCATGTACCATCTGCAAAAGAGGGCCTTATGCGGGTGAAAAGCCCGTAATCTCAAAGATCACATGCTTCGAATAAGTTATATAGTTACTACACGTTGTAAACCATACAAGAGAAACAGTACGGACTGTGTAATTATTACAAAAGTTAAAACGAACAAGAAACCAGGCAAATGAACGAGATCAAGGCTTGACAACACTCAAGAAAGGAAGGGTCAAGTCAGTGAAGAAAGTCACAGCTCCGTCCGAACCAGCGGTGGTAACATTGCCCTCGGAAAGGCCACAGACAGACGCAAAGGAACCGTACTGCTCCCTCTTCTTGGCCACCAGCGCGGCATACTGGTCGAGCGGGCAGCTGCTTCCAGGTCCAGAGCGGCAAGACGGAACGGCTATGGACGTTAGTCTCGCTGCAATAATATGATACGGCGGCAGATGCTACGGGTCAAACTTACGATAGACAGCGTCATTCAGGAGGATACGGACATTAACCGAGGTCTTGCCGTGGGATGTGCAGTTGAGACGCTCGAAGGCGATGGTCCCCCGCATGGGGTTTACGCGAGTGCTGACGTAGATCTACCGGCAACCGTTAGAGCTGAGTTGGATAAGGGAAAAGCTAGCATACCCTTTTGTTATCCATTTTATCAGCGGGAAGGGCTTCCTGCTCGTCGAAGACGCCCAGGAGAGAGGCGAGCTCGTTGATCTGGTTGTCGTGCGTGAAGGCGACGATGAGAGGAGGGAGCTTGCTCGTGCCGGTGGTCGTATTGGTCGTCGATGCTGGGCCGTCCTCGAGCAGGTTGACAATGCCCTGGAGGACGGGGAGCATGACGGTCATGTTCTTTCCAGCGCCGGGACCTGAGATTGAGAATGGATTCAGCGGCTGCTCGCTTCATCCCGTCTTTTTGTACCATTCGTATAGGGATCACTCACCCGTGCCGTAGTAGTAACGAAGATCCTGACGGTATTCGTACTGAAGGATTTCATTAGGCGTGAAGACATCGCACCAGGGGCTGGTGCTGCCGGTAATCTGGGTTTCAAAACCACAGAGGTACGGGAAAATCGAGACTTGGTCATCGGTTAGAGTGAGGTTACCAGAGATCTTCTTGTTGAGTCTTTTGGTGATGGGTGGCAGATAAATCTTGTCCCACGTCGAGGCATAGGTTCCTCCACTGATGTCCTTAAACTTAGGGCACTTGTCGGATGTCGCAAGAGAGTTGCCGATGGCTGCTGCAACGCCTGCATTGACGACATAGATGTCACCGTAGGTGGAGTTGGGTCCGAGGTAGCCACGAGCAAAGAGCCTGTCAAATATTAGGATAGTCTAGTGTGCAGATAGGGGTTCTCTGGAATACCTAGCAGAGTCAATAGTGCGCTGATAGTCGTTCGCCCACAGCAAGAATGGCGAGTTGTCTTCGTAGAATGAAGGGTATCGAAACCGAAGATCGACTCCAAGGTTGTACCTATCAGTGTATCAGCATCATTCTTCAGAAGTCCTGGCTGACAGAAAATACTCACAGTTCCTTATACCCAGTGAGGGAGACTTGCGCTATCTGCTGATCAGGGTGTCTCAACACCGGAGTCCAATCGGAGATAAAGCTCAATGACCCAGAGGCTTTGAATTTCGCGGATTGGAACTATATAAACTCAGTATTTGGACGATTTTACGAGGCCGAGCAAACATACAGCATTGTAAAGCGCTTGCCACTGTGCATAGGCACCAGGATCAGGGTATCTGCTGCCATGCCGGACAACGTAGATCGCCTGATCAACGGAGCATTGATCTGGAACTTCAGACGAGATCTTATTGACATTAGGTCCTATTCACGGGAGAAGATCAGTATAGGAGAGCAATATCGTTTCAAGGAAATATCATACCAGCAAACCATGGAGAGTTAGCTCCCAGGTGCTCAAGAGGCTCTAAAGCATGAACTGAGGTTGCATAGCCCAGGCTTAGAAGCCAAAGAGTCTGAAGAGTCGGTCTCATTCTCAAATTTAGTCAGTTTGACCCTCAATGAGACGATGTAAAGAAGAGAAGATATCTGGCTGAGAGACATTTCAACAGCCTCCATGGTGCGATTCGTGGTATTTAAGATACCCAACAACATCCTCCTTGAAAACAAGCGTCGTAGACGGAGAAATTCGAACCATCGCGAGCCAATTGTCTCCACCGGTTGTTGCAGCCGAAGGCGATGTCTCGGTTGTCTCGGTTGATTGTTCGACGGTGGTGAGTAGAGGAAGTGACTAGACTGCGGAGTGTTGACTCGGCAGGCCGTTCACCTACAACAGATCCGCCACGTGCGTCCAGTAGCCGTTGCGCCAACCAAGCACTAGACCATGCATTCAATCTATCTCCTTGTAGCTTAAATTAACTAATTTCACGTTTCTCGAACCGAAGAGGTTGCAGATACCCGAGATAACGCACTGACACTTGCTATGGTAATCCAACAAGAAGAACAGTACACCAACGCCAAGCAACGACGTGAACGCCGTTACATTTGATGAGCATGGTTAAGTCTGGAAAATCCATCGAGAATCTCTGTCTCCCTGGAAATCGCGTCCTGCATCCCCGATATCACCGATAAGTGCAGTTATGCCCTTTGCCTCTCTCTGCTTAGCCTTACCGAAGTTCTCCCGGTTCAGCACAACCCAGAGGACACTAACCACAACAATATTCGCAAGAAGGTACCCTAGTGCAAATCCATGGCCAAGATAGTAGCGCGGACTGCTTTCAGTCCGATAGAGTTGCGTGCCCATCACGGCTCCCAAGTTCCCGATCGAGATCTGCATCGCGTTGGCTATAGCGCGTTTGGTTTGCCCGGAGACGTTGTTGGCCGGCCACGACAGCACGATGGCCACTGAAGGGTAGATGCCACCAGCGGCGAAGAAGACCCCTGCGTAGGATACGGACGCTCTCTTTGAAGTGAGGAGAAGGATGTATCCGATGCAAGCGAACGCGGTCGAGCCAATGATGAATGGGGCGCGACGCCGAGTGCGTTCAGAGAGGATTGCGACGATGATTGTCAGAATGAATCCCAAGGCATAAGGAGGAACAGTAAGAAGTTGGGCCTTGGCAGCCGAGTAGCCGAGTTCCTTGATAATCGTAGGCTACATCTATAGTCAGACCGCGACGTAGTCTAGGGTGTCAACGCATCCTTACCATGAATAGCGATAGTGTGTACAATGGCAGAGACATTGTGTGAAAGCAGAGCCCATACAGCCAAACCTTGAAATCCCTGAACGCATCAAAAACCGCCGTCCAACTGAATCTTTCGTCCCGAGTAGCATCACTGTCGTTCGTCAGGCGGAATTGGATGAACGCGCGCTCCTTATCTGACAAGAACTCTGCAGTTGCAGGGTAATTGTAGACCCAGAAATAAGCGACAATGGACATGACAACAGTTGCCAGCCCTTCCTTCGAGCTAGTCAGCTGAAATTATAATTTTAGAACGCTAGGTATCGAGCCGTACCAAGATAAAGATCCATCTCCAGCCATTGTAACCACCAACACCACGCATATGCGCAATACCCTGGCAGATGGTCAACGGGACGTCAATTTTCCTCTGGTTTGCCATGTACCAACCCAGGCAAGAATGCCTCCAAAAGCGCCAGCGAGCGATGCAGCGCTGAAGAAGAGGGCCACCCGATAGTGCTGCTCATTTCGCTTATACCACATAGAAAGATAGAAGACGACACCCGGAAACAGTCCACTTTCAGCAATCCCCAGAGCTACAGACGTCGAAGCGCCACATCTCAACGGACTACAAGGCCCCTTGAGACATGGGCCCCTTTCGAGTCAGTACCGCATTTTGAATATATGCAACATTAATCAATTTACCTGTCCGTGATGTCAGGTATCCAGCGTAATTCTGAACAACTCCGAGAAGCGTGGCAACAATGCCCCAGAGCAATGTGAGGGTCGGGAGCCATATCCGAGGTGTAGTCCTCTTGAGCACGATATTGGAGGGGACCTCGAAAGCGACGTAACCAATAAAGTACAGTGTGAGACCTGTAAGGTACATGTCGCCCGCTTTAAAATTACCCTATCATCAGCATAAAATCCTGTGAATAGCCGGGAAACAAGGCCACGCACTCATTCCAATATCCGTAGCCATACCCTCCAAGCGAGCGTTGCCAACTAGAAGCTTTAAGTAAGCAGCTTATAATGATTTTTGACTCGAATTCAGCCAAACCAAAATCTACGTACCATTGCTTCTGTCTAAGAAGGACAGAAGATATAGAATTGTCAATGGTGGAAGCAATCGGTAATCCAGCTTACGCAGCAACGCCTTTTCATTGATATCGAATTGACCTCCTTCGAGGCTGCTCTGGGAAAGCGAATTTGAGTTCACCGGGAACGATGCACGTTTCGAACTTGTCTTTTCGTCAACTAGAGCCATAGTGTCAAGCAGGTCTACCTGGTCGGGGGTTGCTCGACAATGAGACAGTTGATGGAGTTTCCGCTAGAACGGTATCGCCCGAGACAGGCAAAAGATGGCTATTAAGAACGTTCTGAGAGTGCATTCAAGCGCTACACGGCATACAGAATTCAGCACACCATCCTTGTTGTAATTGCGCGATAGGGGGCCTCATGACGGACATGGACTGGGGAAAGACGATCCCGGATAGACAAAGAAAAGAAAAAAGCGTCTGTCGAATTACCGACAAATAATCCCGACCGAGACAGCCAATGTGAAATAGAGCATTTTTGTGCAGACATCTAATAGCCATTGTTGATGAGCAATCGGACCTCCGCGATGATGAGATTGCGGAGGTGGAGTGCATATTTGGAGGTCGACAGTTTAAAGCAACGACTATCATCGTCGAATTGGAGGAAACAGGGAAAGGATCAACCGTCTTGGTTGTGCCTTGAATTCGACCTGCCCTGCGTGCGCGCTCTCAACAGCAGCCGAGCCAGATTCTTCTGGCTTACTCCCTGTCACGCCATCCGCACGGGTAATGGAATCATTACCAGCCATTGTCTAAGAGCCCTGCAGCACTAGGGCCAGCGATATTCTGGAATATACATATAAGATATCCCTGTCTCTATCGTCGTGTACATAGCTACGAGTCAGTATGAGAGAACAAAAAAGGCGTACAGAGATTCATCACTGACTCGCATTCAGGGAGCGGTGGCCCAGAGAACAAGCCGTAAAGGGGTTGAGAATGAGATGCTCATGTTCCCAATGTCCAAATACCACATTTGGGATTCAAGACTGTTTCGAGGATTCAATCGCAGAAAAGAAAGTATACGTCATATTGTTCCCCATCCTTCGCCAACTCTGTGCCTATTCGAAGGGACAAATTTGGGATCCGGATTCTAGAATATCTATTGTTTATAGTGTAATTAGACAGGCACGGAAGATCAAAGGAGGATAATATGAAGTAGAAGTCAAGTCTCATTGAAATGATGCGGAATGATTGAAATGCATCGATGAAATGGGTATCTCTGATAGCCTTGCAGTGTCCTGTCCCACCCAGAAACCTTGACCGATAAACGCCCGTTTGAAAAATTCCCAACCTATCCGAGAGAAATCGAATCCAAAACCCAAAAACCCAACCCATGACCGTCCCAAATCCACGCCCGGGTAGAAAGGAAAAGATGAAAAGGAAATAAAAAGGAAAAATGAACAACGAAATGAAAGAAAATGAAAAGCAAAAGAGAGAAAACGAAAACAGACACCACATAAACCACACACACCACACATAAAACCCACAAAACACACAAAACACACAATACACCCCAAACATACAACACATACATAACACGTAACGGGATCATGTGGTTCATAAGAGAGATTCATCTAATCTATAAGGCGAGTATATCTAGTATTCCTCGCGGAAGCCTACGTGTATAAACACTGCATAACTTTTCTGAGACATGGACATGACGTGCTGAAAGAAAATCGGAAAACAAAAAAGAAGAGAGGATTAATGGAATGCTTGACCACACGAGTCATCAGCATCCCTTCCCTATATAGAACATGAGATGACCTATGGTGCCAGGATCAACGCAAGCAGAGCCATACGGCAGTAGAGGCCATATCTCATCTGTAGATATAAGTCAGCACAACTCGACACACTGAGAGACGAAAAAACAAAGGCAACTAACCTGTCTGAAGTACGCTGCCCGCTGGTCGAAATCAACCTCCTCGGCGATCTCTGCATTCCTAGGCAGGGGGTGCATCACGACCATGTGGCTCTTGGCGTGCTTCATGAGAGCGTTGTCAATGACGAAGCTGTTCTTAAGACGCTCGTACTGTTCGAGATCAGCGAACCGCTCCTTCTGTACACGAGTGCAGTACAGGACGTCGGAGCGCGCAACGATCTCTGGTGTCAGCTCGTCAGACTCGAGCACAAGCTGTCCTGATGCGACGACCGTCTGGCGAACTTCCTCGGGAAGAGAAAGATCCTTGGGCGCAACAAGCTGGACGCGCACGTCATAGAACTGGAGCAGCTTGATGAGAGAGTGGATGGTACGTCCGTATCTCAGGTCACCAGTGAAGGTGATCGTCAAGCCAGTGACAGTTCCCAGCTCTTCCCGGATGGTGAAGAGATCGAGGAATGCTTGAGTAGGGTGCTCGACGCTGCCATTTCCGCCGTTGATGACCGGCACTGGCGAGAATTTAGCCGCTGTCTCAGCGCTGCTGGGATCGGGGTGACGCAGAACAACGGCATCTCCGTAGCAACCCAGGGTGCGGACGGTATCCTGCAAGGTCTCACCCTTCTTGGTAGAAGAGTGCTCGGTCGAGATGGCAATAGTCCGTCCGCCGAGACGCTGCATGGCAGCGTCAAAGGATGCCGATGTGCGGGTCGAAGGTTCATAAAAGAGAGTGGTCAGAACACGACCCTTCAGTATGTCAAGGACACCCTGGCGCTGAACGCCGAGGCGCATCTCCTGAGCCACCGTGAAGAGCAGGTGCAGGTCAGCACGGGTGAACTGGTTGACAGAGAGAACATGTTTCTGTCTGAAGGGTGACCGCGACA